CCCCTAATTTTAGAGTCCAACAAAGTCTGCTAATTTGCACATTTTTACACAGGGAGTGTCTTTTGCACAGTCTTTGAGCAAGCTGAATAAAATATTTTGGTGAAAAACTTGAGCCCTGTCTGTCCTCCTGGGATATAGCTTACTATGTACCTGGAAAGAGCAGAAAACAAATTTTCAATATTCTCTCCTGGGCTGAATAATTGGGGTCACTGAGACCCTAAAATTACCAATAATAAAAGAATAAAAATGGAATCATAAGATAATTGAGTTATTGCATTGCGCATTGAACAAAAATGATAATAATTAATTGGATACAATTGAAAAACATGTTCTAAAGTAACTCTGGAACCTGCAGTTATAGAATCATTTCACAGAAATCGTGCTCATGCATCGATGACAGAATGTGCATCAGAGGGAAATTATATTTCACCTTGTAAAATCTTGATGATTGGACATTTGGAGTGATGGTGTATTGGAAAACTACTAGAATGGAGCCACCATTGTAAATTTTGCAGCACTGACATGCAAAGAGGAAAAGGGGTGGGGGCTAATAAGCAAAATTTTAAGTTACCATACTAAAGCTCCTATCTGGAATATAGCTGCACAAATTGTAAACAATGTACTCCTCATCTGGAACAAATATTAAAGCATTCCTAATTATTTTGCTTTACATTTCAATAAAGTTTTCTATGAGACTTGTATTCACAATGGTAAACAAACTTCAAAGTAAATGTTTTTATTTTATTATTAATTCTATGAAATGGTGCTTTCTACTTTAACACATTTGCTGAAAATTATCACATTTTAAAAACAGATCTTTTATGAAATGAGGACTTGGTCACTACACATACCACTAATGCACAATATAATGTTGCAAACAGAGAACCGAAGTACGCTGTACTAAATAATATCCGCTGGCCAGAGAATAAATGCTTCACATGATTTGTTGGCCCCCATAGGAATGAAAAACTGAAAAAAATTGAAATGTGTTTCTTAAATTTTGTTTGACATTTTATTCAATGGCATTTTGATTTTGGTACTGCATTTATGAAATATGAATAATTAAATTTAATTAAGTTTATTTCTTACAAACTCAATTACACAAGGCCTGATCATGAAAACCAGAGAGATAGGAATGACTTTTCAATATTACAATGTGCTTTGACTTACATTTATTTCGAACTACCATATCCTCTTAGCTGATCACATAGGTAGGCAGACTTTTGACATGTTACCAGTAAATGGTTTTTATCAATGCAACAAATAATGTTCTATATTCTGAAAACCAATAAAAAGCAGTGTACTTCTCACCTACCTGAATACAAAGAACAAACTTCCCAAGGAGTACATGAGAGCAAATTTCCTTGCTTTGAGAATAAGGAAAGGGAGATACAAACTTGCCTGCAAAGATAAAGAACAATTTTACATTCACTTGTTAAAAAGAAATAATTTGGTGTAAATGGTCAAGAAAAACACTCTCCAAACTTCAATGGATTTTTGATAATAATTTTTAAAAATATTCGCTTTAGGATATCATAAGCAACAGCAACTGTACATATAGTACCCCAAACAAAGGATAATGATGATAATATTCTTTTAGCACTTACCATAGTAAAACAAAACAGACCCATTAAAACACAGCCCACAAAGCCAAATATTCTCTGCTTCTTGCTCTGAAACAAAATAAGTTTTAAATATATCCGAGTTGGACTTTCTGTTAAAAAAAGTACACTGTATGTATACATATGGGAGGCAGAGGGTTTCCTACAGTAACTTGAATTTTGAGGTATTATTCTGCTACATTTTGCACTGTCATCTCCTACATCAGCTGGTACAAGCCAAAGATGAAAACCAGAATTTCTGTCCAGCAGTAGGATTTTCACAGACTCTACTATTTCTTTAGTCTGTCGATAATGGGGTCTGTTCTAAGTAGCAGATTAAGGCCTTAAAGTCAGGTGAGGTTTGAGTGAGAAATGCAATTACAAATTTACTAAAAAGGCTTAGGCGTTAAGCGCAGTGCATTTTTTAAAATACATCTTACTAAACTAGGCAGCAGTGGATCTTTTTGCGCCTCTCCAAACCAGCCATTAGCCGACTCGTCAATCGTTATATCTCCATCTGTAGAGGGATCTGAGCTTCCTTTGAACCATGACATATAGCCTCCCCCTCCTTCGCCATTAGATCTGCTGACGGAATCAGAAGACTGAGATTTGAGATAATCTTGCAGCTGTTGATTCAAACTTGCCATCTTGGAAGTGATGTTTATGTGGCTATGTCTCCATGTAGCGTACACGCGGTAAAGGTCAAGGTCGCGTAAGCGAAATAAATTCAACATCTTCATTGGGACGGTTATTGTTATGCCTGTAACACTTTCAAATACTATCGTAAAATAATAAAGTGAAAATGTAGTATTTATTCTATATAATAAGGTATTTAATTGCCTTCTACAGTCAAAACACAGATAGAAATCTCGTATCGCATTTCCGGGTTGTGACATGGAGAGAAAACCAAAACAAATATGGAGGTTTTAGGTCGTGAAAATCAGCTGAGTGAGTGATCAAACCAATTAACAAACTATGGCTGCCCCCATGGGGGACTCTAGGAAATGGAGAAGAAACTATTTGGTGGGGCCGAGGTCACAAGAACGCTTAATGCTCAAGGATCGCATTTTAGATGGTATTTCAAAGTCGATAAAAAAGGTGAGACATCGTCATGTGATCCATTCAAAATCTGCTCAGGCACATATATATATTGCCTCCGTTCAGATCTTCGCTCTTCTACTGAAAGCAGAAAGTAGCACAGTTAGGCCCTGAACTGGGGGATTTCAGATGGTTAATTTGATTGCTGTATCGCTGTAAACATTGAATGAACGCTGTGCCACAATCTTATTATGTACTAGTACAGTACTGAGTATGTTCTTTTCTGTCCTTACTGGGGGTACTGACATGAAGCAGCCATTGTAATACTACTGCTGTAATGTTCAGTAATAATTGCTATGTTTTGCCTGGACCATTTATTCTAAGAGTACTTGATGAGAGATGGAATTTGATTTTTCCTAGGGTGCAAGGATGGGGGGTTTTTAGGGTACCAATTTGTTTGAATGACTTACTATCAGGCATTTTTATTTATTGTTTATTTTACAAACAATTATTTAAAATTATCAATGAGATAGGAAAAAATCTGGTTATTTAATCATTGAAACTGTAGCATTAGCATTTGACAGTCACATTTATTTTTGGTAAAAGAAAGGGGATCAAAATGCATGGCTTTATAGTTGACTATTTTCACTAATATGAGTGATGTCTTATTCAGAATTGTTCAGCCCTGCTAAATAAGCACACAGGAGAACTAAACCTGTTTTTGCAGGCATTACTTCAATAGACAGAAAGTGGTGGTGGAAATACTGGAATTTAATGCTCTTCTAACCTCACCATTATATTTAAGGCTATAATCACTTGAAAGTGAAACACACTAGTTTAAGGGAGGGCAGATACAGGTGAAATTATAGCAATTAGAAATAACTTCATTGTCCAGGGAGCTTGAATTTACTTAAGACTAATTAAGTCCAATTGAATGCATCCTGTGGTGAAAATGAGTCAAGTATTTTGGCCACGAAGACAGGTTGCAACAGGTTGCTACTGATTTATATGTACAAGTATAAATTCAGTGAAGGAGAATATATTTAAACCCCATTTTGCATGAACACTGTACCATCAGATAAGCCATGTGTGTCCAGACTAATTATAGCTTTGGTTCTGTATTTGAATGAAATTAAGCATTGTTTGTGACTCAGAGGGATGCTTAAGGTCAAAGCAGGGGCGGATCCAGAGATATTATCTGACGAGGTTCCAAATTATCTTTGTTGACCCTTCCTCCTTTTCTGACTGACTTCCAAAAGAAAAAAATTAAATGTAAACTTAAAAATTCTGACAATCTTCTGGAAGACTCAAAAGATGCTTTCTGTCCGCCCCTGCAAAGGTCATTCATATTTAAACATAATGTACAGTTACTAAGTAAAGACTCAAATCATGTAGATTAGATATATATATTTATTTGAGCTTGTACGATGATTATTTTCATTATCTTGTTTAAAAATTGAGATAACAGTAGATGGCCTCTGTGTCTATCTCATTTCACCATGGATTCATCAGCAAGTACTGAACTCTTTATAAATAAACTCACTTTGGAGTTACTTGATATATAAGTTTGTGAGCAAAATCTGTATGCTTATGTTTGGTGTTAATCCTTTAGCAATATCTTTTTTATTAGTATTTGTGAGTGAGTGTGGAAATAATCAATAATTATACTAGCATTCTTGTTAGTCACTGCTGCTTGAAAGATTTTTTTAATAATAAAGAATATATATATTCCCGTACTGACAGCTTTATTTTGCCATATTTAATTTTTAATTTTCAATTCAATTCAGATACAAGAACTTCATATCACGAGAGGTCCCTCGTCTCCACTAGTCCTCACAAATCAAGATTGGGAGCTGAATAAACTGTGTGAACACTTGGACCATGCTTTGCTTCATGGGTAAGCATGGGAATATCGTCCAAGGGTATTGTTATGTTTTTGTGAAAATGTTTTTACTAGATGCTCTTTAGAGAAAAGATACTAGTACTTGCACAATCCATAACTATTTATCACTTTGAGTTTATGTCAGAATATTTTTAATTTTTGAAATTTAGGTTAATAAATTTAAAAAATGAGATGTGTGAAACTTGTCATAATTCTGAAACTAAAAAAAAACTTGATATGTTAAAAAAACAAAAGACATAGGCAGGTGAAGTACCAATTCTACAAAGATTGTGATGACCCTATTCTATTATGTGCAGACTTTGCAGCATGTTGAGAAGGTTAGAACAGTATATAAATAAAAAAAACTGAAAAAATCAGTTTCCCTGAAAAAATCAGTGATTGTAATGTCTCTTTTCTCCTCAGACTTCGCAGCGTGACCAGGGGATACTGGATGGTGGTGCGGGAATTCACTCACAGAACCTCGGTCAAAGAAATCAAAACCCTTACCAACGTCACCACTGAGCTGGGAAGAGGTATGATCTGGAATTCTTGATAACAGACGAGGATTGTTAATGTATTTTATTTAGATTTTGAATGAATATTAGTCATTTAGATGATGAATAGTTTAATTGAGTCCTTTTGTTACAAGTATGAAATACTAATACATAAAAACAAAGAGAAAAGAAATAAAGAAAAACGTATAGTTTGTAAGAACTTTGCTTGAACAAGTGATTAAATGTATTTCTTTGAATTTCACTTTATCTGTTATCTTACTGAAATAATTTTAATTTTATGTCTGAATAATATATTATTTGTAAATGAAGCAGTTTTGTTTGGATTATAAACTTAATTTGTATTTACTCCTTTTACAATCAGGTCGATCCTGGTTGTTTATGGCCATGAATGACGGGTTACTGGAGAGTTACTTGCATTGCTTTGAGAGTAATGTGAAGATGGTGAAGAAGCACTATGTGAAGGAGGCATTGGTGCTGGACAGTGAGGTATGGGGGGGATAACCTGATAATGCTTGGGCAACCCTACTACTCTGGGTCATATTACTCTTTCTTCTTCATTTCACAATCACTCCTCTTCCTCCTGGTTGACCAACACTTCTTCACCATATTCCTTCTCCTCATGGTCACTTTCCTCTCCTTCATTATCTCTGTCCCCTCTTCCTCCTTTTCCTCTTTCTTCTCATCATTACCCTGTCTTCTTATCTTGTACTCTCCTGACCTCTTATCCTGCATTATCCTGTCCCCTTATCCCTCATT